TAACATTAAAGATATGTAATTTCTAAGTGATATTAGATTTTTCTTGACAACTAGAGTTGTGGTTGCCAAGAAAAAAATAGGAATTAGAATTTCATTTTTTTTAAATGTAAATAATAATAGGAACATTATAATGTATAAACTAATACATATATTAATACACGATAATATTTAAATAATTATTTAATTAAATATAAATTAAAGTTAAATGGGTTGGTGGGTTAAAAACGAGTTGATAATTTTTATCCGACCTAACCTATTTAATTAAATGGGTTAGATAGGTTGTCGATTTAACTTAAATATGTTTAAAATCTTAACCCAACCTGCTAATTTTGGATTGGGTTCGAGTTGGATTGGTGAGTTGGGTCGATTTTTGTCAGCTCTAATGTGGAGCAGTGGAGGTAAGGGTGTTGATCGAGTAAATTTTCCGGGTGTCGGGTAATTCAGGTTTTTCATGTTAAAAGAGATACCTTTACACAACCCGAATTAAATTTGGGTAATTCGGGTAGTAGGTCGGGTTTGGGTAATTCGGGTATTACCAGAAAATAAATATAATTAAGTAAATATGTCGTGCTCTATTAGTATTTTTTTATAAAAATAACGAGACATAAACGAAGTTACTCAAACATTGAATATTGAGATTTTTTAGTCATTAATACTTGAAATATCAAGTAATCACTTTGAAGTTTGAAGTCTAAATCGTTGAGTGTTGGTGATGACTTCATAACCAGTGACGACGAGTTAAGTTAAGTTTGAAGTCCACTGGAGATGTCTCTTTGTCTTCATAGGGTTCGATACTTCGATGGAAGACTCAAGAAATGGACAAGGGTTTTTTATTATTATTATTATTTTTTTTAAATCAATGAACAGGAATGAGGGTAAAGTCGTAAACAACATATGGATAAGTGAGGTTATTACCCAACGGGCCCTTTGTTTTTTTAGATGAATCAGGTATTTTTTGGGTATAACCGAAACCCAAATCATATACCCTATACCTGGTAAAAAAAATCGGGTAACCCAAATACTTGAAAATATATACCCGAGTCACCCGACTCGAATGACCCGGATTGAAAATGGGTCGACCGGGTAATTTAGGTTTCGGTTATTATCAATAGGGCTTTGTGGAGGGCGTGACATACTGGATGGCCTATTGATCATCAACACGATATGTGCATAGGTTAAGAAGATCAAGAAAAAGGTGTTGCTATTCAAGGTGGATTTCAACATGGCTTTTGATTCCATAAATTGGAATACCCAGATTCAATATTCTCATAGATGGGGTTCGGTAATAGATGGAGATCTAGGATTCGAGGATGACTTCATTCGTCTTAAGCATCAATAATCATGAACGACGCACTTACTAAGGAATTCAACATGACTAGGGGTGTTCGCCAAGGCGATTGAGTCTCTCCGTTCTTATTCATAATCGTTATGGAAGGATTAAATGTGCCCTTTAAATTAGCAGGAAAAAAAGACATTTTCAAAGGAGTATGAATTCCATATAGTGGCCTAATAGTTTCTTATTTATTTTATACATATGATGCATGTTTGTTGGCGAATGTTCTCAATCCAACCTTAAAAACCTTTCTCGTTTTCTAAGGTGCTTCCATGTGTCCTCCAACCTTAAAGTTAGTTTCCATAAATTTATAGTTTTTGGGATTGGGGCCTCTAATTTGGAAACAATGGATTGGGAAAACATCCTGGGATATGAGGCTGGATCCCTCTCATTCACATGCCTCGGGGTATCAGTTGGGGCTAACTTGAATTTGACTAAAAACAGAAACCCATCATAAATAAATTTAACTCCAAGTTATCATCAGGGAAATCAAAATCGCTATCATTTGGAGGACGTTTAAAACTCATAAAATACATTTAATGTAACTTGCCAACCTACTTTCTGTCCCTATTTATGGCTCTAATCGGGGTGTTAGAAATAAAGGGTTTCGAGACTCATAGAGATCAATAATTCGGTATCGGAAACATAAACAATTCTGATCAAAGACTCAAACCGAGATAGATCTAACTCAACTAATCTATGTAACTTTCATACGACACACAAAGTAGGAAAAACATACTTTGATTTCTTTGTAGGTTTCTTCTTTTGATGAGCCAGTTCATTGGACTGGAGAACCTAACGTAGAGTTCCTTTTTAATAATTGCACCCAAGAACCAAAATACTAATGGATCCAAACCACCTTTGAACTTCTACCATAAGCAGATTCGTGAAAAACGAATCTGAGTATCACCACAGCATGGCAATTTAATGTCCATGTCGTAGGAATTGGGTTTCCAACGATTCAAGGTTTTTGAGGGTTCCGAGACTTTGTGACGGAAAGGTATATTTCGCATGTTGTAAATCTGGATTAGGAGCCCTCTACTTGTAGGGAGGTGATTTGAAACCGTAGATATAATTACTAAACTTAACTGTAATTATTTATGGAATTCAAATCATATTGGAGTATTCCATATTCCTTTATTTACTACTATTTAATTAAACAATTAATTAATTTACAAAATAAGTCCCTAAGATAAATTTATTTTATTATTTGCTTTATTTGGTTCTTGCGTGAAACCCAAAAGGACACTATTATGTATAGTAATATTATCAGACTTATTATGACTATAGGCACTAATCTCAATATAAAAAGCTTGAGAAAATTTGAAGAAAGTTCCTCTAGGGAGGAAATAAAGAGAAGGGAAAGATTCATTGTGTGTCTTGGGATAAGGTCACCATTTCCAAGGAGGGTAGGGGGTCTTGGAGTTGGATTGATTCGAGCTCTTAGTATAGGTTTTATAATTAAATGGTGGTGGAGGCTGAAATCGAAACCTTCATCTTTATGGAGTTGTATAATATCATGTATTCATAATACGAGACAAGAAAGTATCATAGGAACATCATCGTTAAATCCAAAAAAGAGTTTAATAAACATATGATTTGTACCAACGTCGTTTACAGATAATCCACTATGAAAACACATTGTTTTTGCAAGACAGTTGGCTTGGAAATGAAACAATGAAAAGAAAATATCTGGTCTGTATGAACTGGAACCACAAAAAATGTACACTCACCAAAAAGTCAATGACAATGGAGATCGTATCCCCTTGTAGGTGGTCTATCTCATGAAATGGAATTATTATAGACCGATATTGCTTCCATATAAATCATGAATGGTACTGATCAGTGGATGTGTGTGTTGGCATTAGATGGAAAAAGATAATTGAGGGTCTATAGAACAAGATTGACCACTATCATATATTGATCCCAAACCTGACAATAGTTTGCGCTAATATGGTTTCAATTAAAGTAATTTCCTTCACCTGGAGGGTAGTTCAAAATAGAATACATTTTGCCATGGCTTTGATTCATAGAGGGGTTTATTGGGTACTTTAGGTTACAATAACATTGTACATGCGAAATTTAACTTAACATTTAATGGTACATGCTACCTAAATGGATCTATGGCTTTTCACCGTTAATAGCAACATACTTATGAAACAAAAAAAACTTCTATCCGACTATGATCGAATTACTATTAGGTGAACATACCTTTAAAAAAATCAAATATGCCAATCTCTTGAGTTCTTCAAATGCTCCATGGAAAGCATGCACCAAAAGTATGTACGCCTCTAATGATTCACACCTAAAACACTAGAACACTACAAAAAAAAAAAAAAAGAGGAGATAAAAGTAAAATCATATTTTATCTTTCAGGTAATGTCATGAAAGAAAAATCACAGCTAAAGGGTCATACTTATAGTTTAGGTAATATATAGATAAATCCAGATTTGAATAATTAAATATTATATTTAACCTTTAATTCAAATCATTTCCTTATATGCTACCAAAAGGATTCTAGAAACCTAGAATGCTCCTTAAAACCATCCTTACTATGGGAGGTTCTAGAATTGTCTCTTCTATTCAACTATTGAACAATTACATTTCACCCCTTGCACCTTTAAATAATCCTAAATTAATTCTGGTGAATAATCACTTAATTTCATCTATTTCTAATTAATCTATTAATCATATAATAAATTAACAAATCATTAATTAAAATTTTCTAATCATTATATTAATCATATAATATATTAACAAAATCATTTTATATCTCTCTTATTATGAATTGTAGTTATTTTTTTAAGAAGGCAACCTAAAGAGGACTTTACTTTTATGATATAAAGTTATATCAATTTAGTGATGACGTTGACCAATTTTGTTATCATCTTGGACACTTATTCCAACAGGGTTAACCTTACATTCTCTATGTAGCTCCTACATTGGCGTAATGGAACAGTCAGATCACTTGCTTGTGAGATGCTCCTACGCTCAGGTGATGCGTAAACAAAATCTAAAATGTTGTGGATTGAATCATATTGACATGAATAATGTACAAGAATTACTTTT